GAGAAAGCCTGCCTAGGACAATACAGTGAGGCTCTCTGTGCTTGAAAACATGCCCTTTGCTGCCATCAAGTGGCTCTTTGCGGAATTTTTTATGAACATATGGTGTACACGGGCTTCCTTCCTTATACCAGTACATAAGACATGTATTATTCTGTGGGGAGCTGGGATATTTGAAAACATCAGGAAAGCCTTTCTTGAATTAGAGCTTTATACTGTAGATGCTATAAAAATTCCATGACTAAGAAGTGCTTCAGAAAGATGACATCAAAAAGGGTTTAAAGTGTCAGTTCCTAGAAAAACCTCAACCTGTACTTTATACACCTCTGTTTATTTCTACCTAATAGAAATTTTCTAAATAGACTGGCTTTAGGATAGCTAGCTGAACACAAATGAAATTTTTTTAAAAGCTAGGAGAGGGATTTATTTAGAATAATTTTTACTAAAGTCCCGTGGCTGTGGGGAAAGAAATGATTTCATGTTTGTTTCTTTCCTATTATCATCTCACTTTCAGCCCTGTATGTAAATGACTCAGCAGACTGTTGAACTGAGATGATTAGAAAACCCTTTTTTTGCCCTTTTCTTTGAGTATCTTCTTATCTCTCTCCTAAGAGATAAACATCAGTTGAATCAAAAGGTGAAGGACAATTGCTATTTTTAAAACAACATAAACTCAAAATGCTGTGGCATTTTGAGAAGGCAGCAACATTTATCTCAGAGGACTGGTGCTTTTGATTGGAAAATGCCTTAAGATTTCGGCTATGAAAGGAAAAACCCCAGATAAACTGCCATGGACAGAAGTTGAGATGAAAGGGAACTAAATTGCTCTAAATAATAAACCAGAGGAATTCTGGAAGTTATTGGGGAAGGGGCTTCAGAGAGAAGTAGGAACCTGAAACTAGGAGAAAAGAATGGCCAGGGATGGGTTGTTTTTTGCTGTTTTTTGTTTTGTTTTGTTTTGTTTGGGGGGGGGGGAGGGCATCTAAAATCAAAAGGAAAATGTATATCAAAATAAAAAAGCCACACCTGCGGTTATGAATTCCATGGAAGATTATTGTTTATCGCCCAATATCCAGGGTAAGTCAGAGAAGCTCTCCAGATGCTGCCTGTGCTAGTGGTTATGTGTTTTCTAATTCAGGGCCACCTAATGCAAGGGCTTCTGTTTCAATTTCTCACTTAATACGAGACCAAGTCCTTATTTCTGGTCCTGACAGAGGAATTAAACACAAGTCCCTAAGTCACTGTCTCAAGTGTCACTTCACAGGCTCACCGCCCTGCTTTTCAGGTCCTCCTTCATTTCTGGCTTCGGGTTTTTCCCTTCCTCTGGGTAAGCCCAACCGCGCATTTAAAAAGAGTCTGTTGGCTGCATCCTATTTCCAGCACTTCTAAAGATTTTGTATTAGGACAGGCTTCAGGCTACCTAGTCGACCACCTTGTAAAAAGGAAGTTGTTTATACAGCGTCTACATGTAAAACCCTGCCCGGGATCAGAGCCCTCTACAGCAGAACCCTCGCCTACAGCTCAGACATTCATAGAAAGATGAATTTAGTTTGGTCCTGGTGACTGAAAGACTAAAAGAAGTTGTGATAGCAGCATTTTGGTGGTGTGAGGTGTAGAGAGATGGAAAGAATCAAAGGTAAGAGGAGACTTCCCTCCGTGGTAGGAAATACGAATGACATGAACCTCAGTCCCTTCTGGCCCAGCCAGCCAACTGGCCTCTTTCCCCTCCATCTGACTGCCTCTCTGTTGGTTTGCACAGGTGGCTAAAGGCGTAAGAGTTAGTGCACACTCCAGGAAAGTCACTGTACTGCGAGAGCCAGGAGCAGGCAACTTGACTCTTATCACGTTAGCTCTGGCTAACACTCTTGAGGTTCTAGTCAGATAAGCCTAGGAATTGTGTTCTTTGTAACAAGGAATCAAAGGGCTCCGGCTCAGTCTAAATTTACACCCGTTCCTAAAATGGGGGGAAGGAGTGGGAAGGAAGGCCAATCATTCTAGGAAAACTCCTTTTTCCCTCTTGGAAACCCTACACCCATTCATTGTAGGCCTGAAGGTCTAGCCATCATAGAAAATAGTTCTAGACCAATATTCCTAGAGAGATCCACAAACCCGAGTATACTGGAATGCCCAGTGGACATCAGATTCATCGTCAAGAATCCTGAGCTCTCCTCTACCACCAACAATCCTCTTGTATGAAAGCAGTCGACTGTGATATCTGTGCCTACTGTCCTTTCCACACCCTCTGGTTCCATCATTCCCTACAAAGGATGAGGCAAAGCCTCGTGGAAAATCCCCAAAGCATAGTTGTATCCATTTGCTCTAGAACTGATTTTGCTCCAAGTTTACATTCCTACCTTAAAGTGTTCACTGGCATGGGTCATAAAAGTTGGCAACAAATCTATACTAATAAAAGGGTAATATACTAATTAGACCAGACATCTTCCGGACGACCTTCTGGACAAAGCCACGATGGCAGGACAGAGGCAGAGGCAGTTAGGAGCGATCAGGATGGCAGGGGAGAGCAGTTAGGGTGATCAGGCCAGCAGGGGAGAACAGTTAGAGGGATCAGGCCAGCAAGGGAGAGCAGTTAGGGCGATCAGGCCAGCAGGGAGAGCAGTTAGGGCAATCAGGCTGGCAGGGGAGAGCAGTTAGGGTGATCAGCAGGCAGGCAGAGGTTATTAGGGGTGATCAGGCAGGCAGGGGAGCAGTTAGGGGCATCAGGCAGGCAGGCAGAGGTTAGGGGTAATCAGGCAGGCAGGCAAGTAAGCAGTTAGGAGCCAGCGGTCCTGGATTGTGAGGGGGAGGCCCCAGGTTGGGGAGGATGCAGGCTGGGCTGAGGGACACACACACCCTGTGCATGAATTTCATGCACTGGGCCTCTAGTCTTTTATAAATACAAATTAAATTCTTTTTATCTATAGAACTAAATAATTTATCCCTTGCTTTGGATTTTTTTTTAAGTGGCACCATTAAGATGTCTTTTCAGTAAATGGTCTTTTTCCAACAAAGATGAGGCATATTGATGAAGAGTACAAGAGATGCATAAGAATATGGAATGCTGTCATTAGTCTGAGAATCAAAGAAAATCACTTTCAATTTTAGGTAAGATCAATACACATAAATTCTAGACTAATTCTTCTCTTATTTCCTGCACATACCTCCTTTGTCTTTCAATTTTCAAATTCAGATTGAGTGAGAAAAATGTAAAGAAAGGCTAATGGGCATATGGTGAGCAACAGGATTGACCATGGATCAAATCTGCTAGCCAAAAAGCCTGCTATATAACTAGAATTCACAGCTTAATAGCTTAAGTCCTCTATTATTGCTTAAAATACAGATTTAATTATAATGTAACCTTAGACAAACCTCTCTGGCCCTCAGTTTCTGGCTCTGTAAAATGGAGATAATAAAAATACTTATTGCATAGGGTCATCATGAGGTTTAATACAGACAATTCATGCCTGGTACTGTGTGCTCAATGACTGGTGGCTCACATTAAGATGAGTTTTATTATTAGCTATTGAGTGCTTTACAACATGCCAGGGATTATCTATTGTTGCATTTAATTCATTACTTTTAAATCTGCCTTTTCCCTCAGAATAAGCACTTCTGGTTAGTTTATTAGCTCCATCTTTTTTAAAAATAGAATTGGATGAAAAGTCAACTTCTGAGCAAAGGATATATTTTATATACTATTTAATGTGTTATTTGCAGCAGCAGCCTTAAAAAAAAATGTACGTTAGACCTGGGTCCCGTTGCCCTCTGGTTCCAGCGGTGAGCGTGCACTACAGGTCCAGACCTTTGGCTGTGCTCGGTGATTCCAAGAGCACCATTATCACAGGCATAGCTCTGCAGCTGAGGCTTATTCTGAGTAGCTGTGCGTTTGAGTGTAAAACTCCACCATTTAAAAATAGACGCAGTAGAAATGGCATCTTTTAAAGCTCAGAAAATAATTGTAGACAAAGCATTCTAATGTTTAAAGCTTGAACATTTGATCTAAAATCACATTCTTGAATGTACCCCTTGTTAGTATAGATGAAAGTGTAAAACTTGTGAAATACCTGCTTTCCCTTTACTATTCATCTCCTTTAAAGGTGGGGGAAAGAAACACAATTTTAATTGAGCTATCCCTCTCAGCATTGAACAGTGGTGGCTAAGACATACATATAACATCAAAGTAATTGCACTATAGAACTGGCCGACAAGCTTGCCTCACCTGTATCTAGGAAAGGATATAACCCAGCGTTCCAATCTATGGGGGGATAGATCAACACCTTCCTTATGAACTACTTCAGTGCACCACAGATATCAAAAGCAGCTTATTCTTGTCACTAATCTAATTCTTAACACTATAGACCTAGTAATTCTCCTTATTTTCTGCCCTTCAAACTTACCAAGAGCACACCAAGAACTGGAGAAAGGTGAAAATAATCAACAAACTACTTGGCAGCACTTCTTCATGCCATGGTGATTTGATTAGTGATTAGATAAGTATAGATCACAACCCTGGATTTCATACAGGGTGGCCACTTCTAAAACGATCCATTTATAACAAAGGTCTTTCTGTTGGAACTGTCAAGAGAGGTGGGTTTTTTTTAATGCCACCAGCATCAAACACTTTTACTTAGCCAGGCATTGAAGAGCAATGGAATTGCAAATCTGGAGACCTTCAGCTCAACCCAGCCTTATTAATCTAGTGAGTATAAACAACTCAGTAAGATTTCCTGATTCTCAGACTCTCTATCACTGTAATGAAATTAGTAGCTACCCTCAAACTACCCTCACAGAGAACCTAAAGAGTAAGAAACACAAGGTAAGTATTGTGAAAAGCTTCTGGGAGAAAATACTTGAAATGTCTTAAGAAAATGCATATAGTATTCCTTCTTAGGGTAAAATATTTATAAAGGACATTTAGCCTACTAAAAAATGAAGAAATTCTCTCTGGATTCTTATGAGTTTCAAACATAACACTCACCACAGTAGAAAACAGAACTATAACCTACCCCATGTTCCCATCCATGAGAAGAATCATGTTGTATATGTGAGAAAATATGAAGAGAAAGAGAATCGTGCTGAAGAACATTGTCATCCACGACCCGTGATCCTCTCGAAACATTTTTAACCGGAGTAACTGACCTGAAATATAAATATTATTAGTCAGTATATATCATAACTCAAAATTCTTTCATCTTTGCTTTGTTTTATCAAATATTTATTATCCCACTACATTCTGAAGTCTTTGCTGTAAGACTGACTTATTGGTGAAATCACTATATAATGTCCTTTTTGCTGCTCAGAGATGAAGTCCAAAACAACCCCTATATCATCCTGGAACAAATGATACTAACATGAGAATCTAGCATACAGAGACTGTTCAATATGCTGCATGAAAACAAGATGGATTATAGTACCTACCTGCTGTAGTCTATTTCACAAATATGTTTTTGGTTTATTCATCTGAAACTACTTAAGACAAATGGTAAAGACGTTGCATAAATTCCATACAATTCCCTTTTGCTTCTAGAGACCCACTCCCGACACTGGCCAGACAATAAAACCAAGGCAGACCTCCCTTATGTGAGGATCCAATTACTGAAGGTGCATGGAAACTTAAAATAAAAGTAAAGTCTCTATCACAAGAGAGAGATGACTCAGCCTTTCTCTTAGCTAAAATATCCATACCCATGTACAAGTATGTACACAAGTGTGTGTGTGTTGTGGGGGGGGGGGGGGGGGGGGGGGGGAGCATGTGCATGTGTTACAGAGTTTGGTGTGGCTCCCAGCAAAACATAGTTTCCACACTGAGACCTAAAATTCCAGTTACAATGATAAATGCTAAACTTTGAATGTTAAAATGTAAATATTTCAAGGAGAAAATGCATTAAGAAGAACACTAAAGTAAAAATTATTGACATCAGAATTAGTTCAGAAAAGTCTTTGACATTAATGGTAGAGAATAGAAATGAGGGCATCAGTCCCTTAAAGGTGGGGAAGATGAAAAACCATAAATACAGGTAAAAAACATAAATACAGGTCAACCTGGTTTCTCCTAAGATAAAGTTTGTCTATTATACTTATGTCCATTCCTAAGAAAGTGTATGTAAATAATGATACAGGAGATTGTATATGTATAGAAACTATAATTAAAATAGGGTAGGCTTAAAATTTTATAATAGAATTTCTCATTAGAGAAAATATTCTCATTTTATTCATGATAAGACAAAGTTACGAATACACACACACACACACACACACACACACACACACACAATCTCCATCTGGAAATTGCCTCTCTAGGGATAGACAGTGGCTCTGTTGTAGGTTACTGAGCATAGAAAGATCTTTTAAGATTTAACTGCTAGATTTTCCCCTGTACCTCACTTTTATTAAAACAGCACTTTAGATTTCATTTGGAAACCAGGCTAACAGAAACATTACCCTAGCTAAAACTTTAAATAGAGCAAAAAGAGAGATTTGGTTACATCATCTGGTTTCTTGGCTTGCACAAGAAAAGCAAAGGGCAAATCTGAACATCGGGGGGAATGTGGATTGTAACTAAAAGAAGAACATAGAAAACTTCCTACTGAAGCAAAGGAAACTAGCCCTGCAAATTACAACATGATTGGATTAATTGAATCAAAAAGTATGGAAAGCCCAGGGAAGTCTCCATACAACACAGGGATAGCAGTATCATAAATAGATATTAAGCATAGAATGCTTGAGAACAAAAAAATACATGTCATAAATATGGAAGCGCAAACTATAAGGAATATTATTCATTCATTGAACAAATATTTAATGTGCTTAGTACAGGCCAGCATGGTTCTTCTAGGTGCTGTGAGCAGGGCAAGGAGGTGTTTGAAGTCCATCATCATTTGGATAGTTGCTGAAAACTTGACCTTATTTTAGACCCATCAACTCTCAGTTTTCAAAGTTCCCTTTGCTGGGAGTTCTTTCAGCTTCAAACCAAGACCTATTTGAAGAACTATAGAGACTAGCAATTAGAGTTCCTTGAAAATTTAAATGTGAATCTCCCTCTTAACATATGCATATGTCAAAAAATTCACTAATAATGTACTTTAAAAGTCAGAGAATAATGCTGTTGATTTAAGAGTGCTTTGCAAATAAAACATAGTGAATTAACTATACACTGGCTGAAGTGAGACAGTTAATAAAAAGAGAAATGTGACAGTACCATTTATGCTGTCCTTGCCAAGCTCACTGGTACTAATGTCCATCATTAGAGTCATTAGCACACAAGGGCAGGTTAACTTGGCTAAAATTCACTTGAAGCACAAAATGAAAGCGCTGCAGTATTTCAGGCCAGAACGTGTATGGCCCAAATATGAAGTCAAATCACAACAACCGAGAACTTTAAAATTAATCTGAGGATATCACATGAAAAGGTGTTGTCTCTGCCCTGTAGCGTCACCATACATTTGGTTTGCTTGGGACAATAGTAGCTTATAACTGTTGTCCTGGCATAATTATTAATACCACCTTCTTCCTTTCTTAAGTGTATGGGTTTGGGCAATAAATCAATATGCCACCTTTCCTACAGGTCACGGAATTCAGAATTTTATAACACTTTCCTTTAGAAAGAGTTTCAGGAAATACCTGAGTGAAAATAGTTCTTATAGGTCAGCAGAAGTCAAAGACATCACTAAGAGAAGTACATTTCTGACAGGGTCATAAGTGACTTTTATTTTAATCACAGTCATATTTATAAATCTGAGTGTATATTTATGTTATTAGTAAAATCTATCTTGGACTGTATGAACTGTCACCTTCAATATGGTCAAGGTCATGGAATATAAATCTTAAAACAATCATAAGCATTAAGGTGGAACACAAACCTATATATGTGTTGGAGGTGAGGACTGGAGGGCAGAGACTGACAGCTACAAAAACTGCTACAAGTCCACTAAAATGGACTACAACTTAGACTCCCCCCTGGAAATACAGTAAGATTAGGACCACTAATATGTCATAAGATTTTAACAAGATTACAAGTATAAAAGCATATTAAAAATATATAATGAGCTCACATATATTATGGAAGACAGAGTTAGGCAAGCACAAGAAAATTATGGAGAAACTACTTCATTTTCTTGGCTTTTTGCTGCTATGTTCTCAACAGCAAAAAAATGGAAAGGAGCATTTCCCAGATTTTAGCCTGAGTTCTGAGTCCCTTTTCTTGAGTAGTGATTCTCACAAGGAGGCCTTGAGCAAATACATAAACTAAACAACTTCAGCAGAGAAGGAATGGAAGTGGTTGTGCTCCCAGGTAAGAGGTGGGGGTAGCCCTACTCCTGGGAAGTTGTGGAAGCAGGATTGGATAGGTGAGGGCTTCTAGCTTCATGAAGGACACAAAGATTGAGGCCTCCAAGGTGGTAGATTCCCTGGGTGCTGGTGAAGGCCAATGTATCAAGGGTCATGGACTTGGAAGTCAGGTAAGGAGACTGAGCTAGTCCCACCCAAGGGAGTAAGGCCAGTAGGGCAGCCACCCACCTTCATTAGGAACACAACAACCTGCTAGGATCCCAGCCACTGCTGGAGAAGGTCACTGAGAGGATTTGACTATCAATTGACCCATGAAATGGACCTGGGCAATCAGAGGCTCTTCCCTCTCTCCCCTGTGCTGGGATGCACATTCTGCAAGAATACAGCTTTGAGAGTGTAAGGTGTTGTTGAGGCCATCTGTATGGTACACAGGACTTAACCCAGTTAAGACCGCTATATAATCTTTAAGATTCTGGCAGGCAGGGTAGAGATCTACTCATTTTGCAGCCACTGAAGTCAAACCTTGTTTGTAAGTTCCCTTGCTTATTAAAATTGCCACCTAACAATCTACAGTGTAAGGGGCAATTTCAGATTTCACCTGGGAAGCTCCCAAGTTTGTGAATCAACACCATCTGAAATGATGTTTCAAGAGGCGGCAGAAGACAATCACTCAAGCATTAACAGGAGAAGAGGATACAGGTAAAAACAGAATGAGGATTTATCTCCAAGATGTGGGACTTCTTTAAACTGCAGATATTTTTAAAAGGATCTGAAAAGTTACCAGTACTGTACTTTCTGCTCACCTTGGTAAGCAGGGACACAGAGCAAGATTTATTTAATTTAGAGAAAAAAGTGTGACATTATATATAAGACCCTAACCAGGAATTAAAAAGGATAAATGAAAAAAACACTGCCTTCATGAGGACTCCAAACTGAACACTACTATCCATTTAGTCTTCTGCCCCCAAATTTCCTATTATGGTAACTTACACATATACTCCTTGGCTTTTGTAATACCAAATACTCCTAGTTCTTTTTTTTTTCTATTTTCCTGATTAGGCTTAGTCACCTTTTTAAGTATCTCTTCTTCCATCCATCCCATAATTGATATTTGTCATGGTTTGTCCTTAGCCTTTGTCTTTATCATATCACTACATGGTCTCTTCCACTCTCAAGGGATTAACATCCAGTATCTCCAGCACAGACTTTTCTTTCTGAGCCCCGGAATGGAAGACTCATCTGCCCACTGTCCTCCTGAATATCCTGCTGCCAATTCAAACTCTGTTTACAAAACCAAATTCAAAATTTCCATTCCTTTCCCCAACACGCAATATACCGTATCTCCAATCTGACCATTTTCATCCCTAAATCCATTCCTACTTTTGATTTTACCATCTTATCATTTTCAAAATAACTCAGAGTAAGATTCTGTCTTGAATTTTTCCTCCTGCATACTTTCCATTTCAATCAACAGTTCTAGTATTTTAAAACCTGACATCCATATTGTTCTCTCATAATTTGAGTTCCCATAGTCTCTTAATGGGACCATTGCAACAACCTAACTGCTCTTCCCCACTCTAGCCTTTTTCCATCTCAAATCCACCCTCCACTTTTCCATTTCAGGAGAAACTAGCCATTGAATAAAAAGACAAGAGTTCTCATTAAAATACAAGTATAGGCACACCATCCCTTCTCTTGAAACCTTTCATTGATCAACATTCCCCTAAAGTATAAAATTCAAGTTCCTTAATGTGATATAGAAAGGCATTGCTTGACTTGACCCAGGCTTACCTTTGCCCTCTCACCACTTCCTAGCTTTCTCTCTAGTTTCATCAACAGTAAACAGGCTGCAG